AAAATAAAAGAAACCTCATCGAAACGAAGGAATCATATTCAGTATCTCTACTGGAAAAGTAATCGATATCGACTCGGCATTGGAACTGTAACCAGCCCGATACAGATGTTCTGAAGAAGTTGTCTGGGCGCCGGGCACGCGGCCATTTTTGGAAGATGGCGGTTTCAACTGCGCAGCAGCAGTGACATTTTTAACAAACACAGTGACGTTTTTTACCCGCAAAAATGTTCCCATGATGGGGGGGGCGTAAAAACAGGAGGAAGGCACGAGGAGCAGATGCTGAATGCAGGTAGATTATGGCGTTCCCTTGTCTTCTCTGTACTTGCTAATGTTAAAGCGATGAATATTTTTGGTCTGATTTTTGCACATGTTTTCGTCATGCAGCTGACAAGTGAGCGTGTCCATTTCACTGACATAAAAACGTTGACAGATCTTAGTGAATGATGGAACTGTGTGTCAATGCCTCAGTCGCTTTGTTGCGTCGGCAAGATGGAGGACATTTTAATGTTATTTTGTTTTGTGAGAAAGGGAAGGAAAATGTAAGGAAAAAAGACGAAGGCGAGAGCATTATTCCTAAGGAAAAGCAGGAAGTCAAAATATTGATCAACAAGAAATTACTTTTGTGGAAATCAGAACGAAAAAAAAGAGAATAGACAAAACAATGAGAGGAGGTAGCCTAATCTAATGACAGACGAATAGACACGCGGAAAGATGGAATATATCCCATCTGAGAGGCAAATAAACACAATGCAGTTAAACTGGCCTGTTGGTGTCAAATCCAACCTGAAAAAAAAATTAAATTCTCCTTCTACTGTGGAGATTTCGATTCGAGGCTTTCTTTGATCCTCGGAGGGCAGAGTTGGGCTTTCTTTCTTTGTTTTATTTGTCTTTTTCTCTTCGGTAAATGGCGTAAAATAAAATTCATAGTGTTCGTGATAGTGTGAAGGAAGTGTGTTCATTGTCCGCTCTGACACACAGCCCAGATATCAAAGAAGGGAAAGGAGACGATCCCTCTAATTTAATAAGACCACTCTTTACACTGTGCAAGCAAAAGAAGCACCGGATAATGACGACTAATATAATTTCCAGTGAAAACAGCGGAGCGAAGGCGTGATATCTCCCACGGGTCTTCAAAAGGATGGCGAGAAATTAGCACAGGAAAATGTATTTGTGTAGGGTAGGCTGGCGTTATTAATGTTCCCTCGGCTCACTTTTATCTCCAAACGGTTTGTCACGAGCAATGGGGGCAGACATTGACCAGAGATCTTACTCGCACAAGTCTGAATTCATCTGTGTAGGAATGAAGTTCATCTGGACATTGGAGGAGAAATTAATAGTCTGGGAAAAGAAGACGCCGTCTAACAAAATTTCGATCCCGACGCTTCAGGAGTCGAGGAGACTGAGAAATTAAATGCACCTGCATCAGCTCTTTTCGGAAGTTCGTAAAGTTAACTCATAGACATATCTATTTACACTTCCACTTTCTCCTTCAAGTTGTTTGATAATTCTTGGGTGGGAAAAAGGGGATGGCGGTTGAGGTGAGAGGGAGGGACGCAGAGGGGAGGGGCTCAATCAGGATTTCGCTGGAGCCTGTTCTTTGAAATAATTGTGTTGGTTTATTTTCTGCATCTTCTTCGAAAATCTCCTCAGAGTGGATGCTTTTTAAAGTGGGACCAACACTGTTGTGAAGACATGAATGTAGAATTAATTTCCAAGTAGATGAGATCCCACGGAACTGGGTGCCTCCCCGTGTAAAAGAGTGAGTGCGTGAGCAAGTGAATAAAGTATTGAGCACGGCGTTCAGTGGGTGCGTGGTTGAGTGGGTTCATGTGTGTGTGTGTGTGTGTGTGTGTGTGTGTGTGTGTGTGTGTGTGTGTGTGTGAGAGAGAGAGAGAGAGAGAAAGAGAGAGAGAGAGAGAGATAGAGAGAGTACAATAATGAGTGGGTAGGTATTTGAGTGAATGGGGGATTAACTAGGTAAGCAATCAAGTATGTTGGAGAAACGGTTGAGGTTAAAAGACAAACAGATATAGCAAAACAAGAGACAAATTAAATAGTCTGTACCTATAATATCATTATGCTTATCAGCATTTCACTGTCAACTGTAAGATAAAACAGAACAGACGCTTTGTACTACGTCACAGAGACAGGCAAATCCCGAAACTTAGTCGCACACATTTATGTATTGGGTGTCTTTGAGGTGCAGTTTTTTTTTTGCTACTGTAGGTTTCAGATTTCTCTCCAGTTTGCGTGTGCTGTGAAAGCTTAAGGCTGTTTCCTGTTTTCCTGCCCCCACCCCCCCCCCCCCCACCGCCCATCCAACTGAACCTTAGAAAGCAATACGATTCCAAGATTGACGATGACAACATTGCCAGATGAGCTGTGTTTTAGACTTGGTAGGGTAATACGTCAATCTTTAGCCCCCATGGCTCTCTCTCAATAACGAACTTTCCCAACACAAGGAAGTTCGCAGTTCCAGTCAAAAAGCAGTTTGGTTTTTTTTATAAAATATTTGTTTTTCCAGTAACTTCAGGGTCGATTTGTTAACGGGGCTAAACCGGTTGTACCGGCCACTTTTTGTAGACTGGAAGGGGACAGGAGATTTATCGCGGAAAAGTCGATGTGAGTGATAACCGGTTAATAATGTTCTACAAATCAGCCTTGAGTAATTTTCTCTTTCCTCGAAGTTCTGACGGGGGACCAAGAGCTCATCTTTTGCAGTGACATGTATGTCATCTTGTGATAAATACGTACTTCACTCGACGAATGTCCGGTTTGAAAAAAAAAATAGAAATTATAATCTTATTCCTCTTGTTCACTATATTTTAAATTTGAAAGTGTACTCATATCATTTTAGGGATCCAAAGTGAAGAACCAAGAGGTTTGAAGCTTTTGCTTTGGGGAGCTTTAAAACAAGATAAGATAAGATACATCTTTATTGTCCAGGTCCTGGCGCATTGGGTTTGTGTTTCACCAAGTACACGCATACACACGCACACGCGCACGCACGCACCCCCCACCCCCACCCCCACATGCACACACATATGTACACTCACGCAGTATGTATGCTTGCACTCTCAAACAGGCTCACAGTAACAAATGTCATGCAAAATACAAATGAACAGTACTATAAAAAGTTGTCCCCGCTTCCGATCCGGACATTGAGGATTGTCTGGTTTGTGAGACAACTTCCTGGGCCTTCGGCATAGCGTGATACGGTGGCCAGTCCCTGTCCAAGCCGCCTTTACGTCCCCAACTCGAAGTCAGATACCCATTACTGCTGGGTAGGCAGGAGGGGTGGAAAAAAAATCCTTGTCCGAACCGAGGCTCGAACCCGGGCTTTCCGCTTCGGAGACGAGCTCACTAACCGCTCCGCCACCGCACCCTCTGAACAGTACTATAAACAATAATAATGCTAAGCTAGGTAAATACTCAGTATTCTGATTGAAAAGCAATGGTATTCCGATGCATGCTCTTAGGTCATATGAATACTTATGACAAGATGATTAAGATGAAAGAAAATGGATGGATGATGGTAAAAAAGACTTTCTGTACCTTTTTTTGTAACAGACCAGAAGCCTAGGTCTTTTACTTCGGACTGATATTTTTATTTGATGGATCAAGGGATGTTTATTGTCCAAAAAAAGATTGAATTAATTTTTCTAGAGTCTAACCAGAGTCTAGTTTGTGGTGTACGAACATAGGATCTTTGTTTCGTTCAGTGTAAAATTATTATGTGTACCACTTTAAGGGTCAACATGGTAAAACGGATAGCCTGGTTAACCAATTAATGACGTATCATTTTAACGTAGGTTTTTTCACCCCCATCGACACAGTTTAGATAATTTAAGAGATAGCTTTTGACACAGTCTGTCAGAGCAAGCATGGGTTGAACGGGCTACATCGTCTTAGCAGAAATACCAAGATACTCAATAAAAAAGACTCTCCCTATAATAGGCATCGAACTTGGGTCTTCAACGTGAGACGGCGAAGCGCCTAACCGAGACATAACAGACACTGGATTTGATAGTGTGTAGCATTGATGGATGAGTTGACAAACAAGGAAATGTGGTGTCGGTTCTTGTCCAATTGTTGTAAACCTTTGTTCTGCCGGCTGAGGGCAAAGTACTTGTCTTCAGATTTCATTCATCTCTTTAATGTGTAATACGCCGAGTTGATATGGGGATTGAGTAACACAAGGTCCTGCCAAGCCAACGCCGGGGTGAAGTACTCAGATTTCATGGCCCAAAGAGAAAGAAAAGCAGCCTTCTGTGCATTAAGCTACTCAAGCGGACAGATCTACAAACTTTTGGCGTAGAAAAAAGCGGATCAAGTTCTACATGTGCTGTTTAAATGTCATTTGCATGAGCAGAAAAATAATAAGCGCGCGTGTTTATGCCTTTACGGCGTCAAGTTTGAGTGAAACAATGACGTTAGAGAGGGCAACGAGAACACTGTGAAAAAATGCGATACGTTCAGTGAACGGTACAGCCTTAACGCACGCATAGGACACTGCTATTGGGTTAAAAATATGTATATTAAGAGCAAATAAGATTTTCAGTGCTTGGTACAGCCTTAGCACGCGTATGGGACACTACTTTTGAGACGATTGTACATTTATTAAGAGCAATTAAAATTTTAAAAGGCCAGTATACTTCCCCAAGAGACTCAAACATGCTCCATATCAGGCGGTGCCCACGAACCTCATAATAAATGGCAACTTTGCCTTTTTTTCTCGTAAAGACCTTCTCAACTTTACGATTTGTTCAGTAAAGACCTTTCCAGCTTTTCCATTTTTTCTATAAAGACCTTCTGAACTTTGGCATTTAATTCATTTATTCATGTAAAGACCCTCTCAACTTTGCCATTTGTTCTGTAAAGACCTTTTCAACTTTGCCGTTTGTTTCTGTAAAGACCTTCTTAACTTTACCTTTATTTCCTGTAAAGACCTTCTCAATTGTCCTTTTTTTTTAAAAACCTGTTCAACTTTCTCCCCACAG